CTTTGACAGAAAAAGGCCATAACAGAAACTCAATTTTACATAAAAGATTTGTTTGTACAATATTTATTTTGATAGGCCTTGGTCTTTTAAAGCTGGGGCTAGACGTTTTGTGGGCGGCCGTTGGTGCAGTAGTAGGCCTAGCAGGCTAGGCCTAAAACATCTGCCAATTGAAGCCTAGGTTGTAACCTATTATTTGTCTAAGCTTCATAGTAAATTATTATTATCATATCTGAAATATTGTTTATTATCTGAAAAGAACCAAATTAAATATGTTCGCCCTAACTACCGATTGCATCGCCCGTGACTACCGTCAACAAACACATGTGAGCGATTTTTTTTTTCTGCACACTGCTTACTTAGCTTGTTGCATTCAATGCATGCAAGCAATGCAAGGTTTAAAAAAATTAATGTTGGTGGCGCACTTCACATCTTGTGCTCAAGATGAAAAAAAACGATCGTTTTTCGTCGATTATAGGCATTTTTAGTCGATTTTCATAATTAAAAAATAAATAAATAAATTTAATAAATTTGTATTAGTTTTTGTAGATCAGTTTAGTCTAGTTTTAGTTAATACTAGGCTAATGACAAGATATTTTGTATAGATATTTCAACTAGCAATCATTTTTTTTAATTTGCTGGTTTGTAAATTTTTACCTAGCAATTATGACAAACCTACTAGCAAATTGCTAGTTTGCTAGCGTGAATTTCGAGCCATGCTGCTGCAGAAAGCCAGAAACTTGCCAAAGTCACCGCATACGTCAACGATTTTATTGGTTTTCGTCCACATGTGCATATGCTCTTATCATCAGCACGGCCAGATTGAAGGAGTTCTTTTTCACCTGGCTTGGCCTCATCACCATCAATATGCATACAGTAGGTAGATCCTCTGGTGCAGCATGTACAAAATGGATTTATCATTTGGGCCCTTAATGATACAGTACATATATTAAGATTACAGAAAACATTTATCTTCATGTCAAATGTTATTGTCGACAGTATCTATGAAATTATAAGTCACTGTAGAAAAAAATATCATACTAGTCCTATTTACTACCTGTTCTAAGCACCAAATTTCCTTTTAAGATTCTTGTAAATGTGTATTGTTTTCCAGTTTTCAATGCTCTCATCAATATGTGTGTCCGCCATGTTGCCAACACTCTACAACATGCCCTGAACCTACAAGACAATAAGGAGAAAAAGTGAGTTAACTATATCATCAATTGTTTGATGTTTAATGTGATATGATGTAAGGTTAAATGTGACTATGTAATGTTGATATGTTAAATAGCTATAGCATCATGTGATGGTGAATATGTGATCACATAATGTTAGATGTGTTAAATAGATATGGCGTGATGGTGAATATATGATTATATAATTTTGGATGTTAAATAATTACAGTATCATTTGATAGTGAATATGTGATCACATAATTTTATATGTTAAGTAACTATAGCATCATGTAATGGTGAATGTGATCCCATAATGATAGATATGTTAAATAGATATGACATCATGTAGTGGTGAATGTGATCACATAATGTTAGATGTTAAATATTTATTGCATCATTTTGTGGTGAATACGTGGTCACATAATGTTAATTGTTATATAACTATGGCATCATGTGATGGTGAATATGTGATTAGGTAATGTTAAAAATGTTATAATGACTTTCATAGATCAGTTATTGGTTATAATAGTCAATTGAGGTCATGTAAATCAGAGATTTGTGTTTACACCTGAAAATCACCAAAAAAAAATCATAAGAAATAATTTTGAAATTACTTTGCTCATTTTGCAGTAACATACAAATTATTAAAATAGAAATTATTGAACTTCAAAAATGTGTACCTTGTTTTTTTTTACTCGATAATGATAAAACAAATGATAAAATACTTGCAGTGACTAGAAGCGTGTCTATAATTTTTTTGCTGTAAAATCATGGGTAAAGATTTTTTTAAATACACTAATGTTTATAATCAAGTTAATAATTTTTATTTTACTTAATTTTTTTAGAAATTTTTATGATTTTTCTTTTTTTGCATTTTGCATATGACAATATATCCAGCTAAATACTGTACTGTGAATTTGTAAAGGATGAGTTTGTAATTGAATGCTTACAATACAAACACATACATCCAAAGTAGTTCTCTCCAAGATTTTTGAAGTTGTTCAGTACTGGAACACTCACAAATGACATGTTCCGTGTATAAGGTTCAATGTACAGTATATACTTCTCCTTTAATCCAGAAACACAATCGACCACAACAAAGATAATTATGATTTCATTTCTTCTCTCAGAAAACAAAATACAATAACTTACAACTCACAAGCTACTGAACCTTCCCATGAGAGAAAAATTGTTTATTATCAAAACTTTTATGTCTGGCCATAAAATACCCTGATAAACAGATAATAAGCTAATGAACTTTTGCATGTACTGATAAGGATTAGAAATGAGGAAATATAAAATTCATAATAAAGGGAGATAAAGGGTTTGCAGTGGTGTATCTGCATGTCTTGAAATGGGTATGTCGGCTGATTGGCGTTGGGGGCTTGTTGATAAAGTGAGGGCGCGCTAACTAGGAAAATAAAGTGATATAAAGTGATTTTTATTTACTTGAGTGTGACTTTTAATTTCAGTGGGGGCGGAGTGGGTAACTTGGGAGCTGCACACCCCCTACATATGACTCACTTAAGGTGTGACAAAAATTCAAGCTGTGTCTGTTTATTTCTACTTTCACAGTAGATTTTTGTCAGTTTTACATTTATGAGCAGTGCTTGTTTAATTTTCATCCTTTCTCTCTAGACTGCTTCGTCCGGCAACATCAAAGAAATGGAAGAGAGTGGAAGGGGATGTTAAAACATATTTGACAGATATGATTAAGGTGAAATTATTAGTAATGAAACATAATTCAACAATTTTAGAATTTTATATGGTCATTGAGATGGTCTTGTTGCTAAAAATTTGCCATAATGAGCTTTAAAAAGATGCAAAATTTATAAGATTTGTACTATAAATTTATTTGTATGATATAAAAGTATGATACAAATAGGTTTGCAAATTTAACAAAATGTCATGTTTGTGTCCATATTGAATGATCTACACATACTGTACTTCAAAGAATGTCTTAGTTTCCATATACTGTACAGATGAAAAATTTCTCTTTTCTCTATCTGGTGACAGATGATTATGATTTGTATGAGTATGAATTGATATAATCATGCCCATATATGGATATAATATGACATCACCTTGTCCATATATGGCAGACATTGCAACCCTTAAACATACAAAAAAGCTGGTTATGTCATTCTAAAATCCGGGACATTATGGTATGTTCAAAGGCAGGAAACGCAAATTTAGAAGGTCCAGATGGGCAGCTGAACTAACAAGCCTATAGTCAGTAACCCTCTTTGTATTAATACTTATTTTTCAATATTATATGCTATTTCAGCTTGTCGGCCAGGTGACAGAGCCCTCTATAATCAGTGTTGTCCTCCGTCACATCAATTCAATGATTCCTTATGCCTCCTGCTTTTCCAAAGTAGCAACGACACTTATAAAGGTAAGAAACAGTAATATTTGTCTCTGCACTTAATAATATTAACATCAGCATCCTCCATAGTCAAAGAGGTATCACTCCGCAGTCGGGAAGGAGTTACTTGATGGCTGTCATTAAATTTCCAGAGCCAACATCCTTGAATGAATTTTTTCAATATGTGGACTAAACTTGTGCAATAACTTCTCCTTCCCTAAGGGTCTGTATTGAGCTACCCTGTAAACCGGTACCAGTTATCTCTGTCCACAACAGGGGTTGCTTGTAAGATGTGCTGTGTTCTTGAAAATGTGCATGAGCCAAATTGTGTGCACTGCGCCTATGGTTTATAGTCCTTATCCGTGAAGACTGTTTTCCACCATCAGAAACATTGGGGAGTTTGCCGTTTGAACCAGCAGCGATATTATAGCTGTACGTTGCGGCGCCCCTCTCTTAACCGCTTTGCCATTTGACTTGCCATTGTTGTCAGGGTGTCCTAACCACAAAGGAACTGGGGGGAAAATATAGTTCTACCAAGCATTATGAATTGAATAATAGGTGATATGAATTTACCATTGCAGAAACTTGTTCAGATTTGGAGCACTGGGGAGGAATCTGTCCGAATTCTTGCATTTCTGTCACTGTACAAGATCACACGCTACATGCCGAAAACCAGACTGGAGTTTATCTTAAAGGTAAGAGGATGTAAATCTTGACTCACTGTAGCTAATTTATTTTTTTTTAAATTTCAACACAGCAACACAGAAAAAAAACTTCACTTAAAAAAAAAATAACAATATCACTTTTAGATTCTAATTCTTTATAATATATTTAACTTGCATACCACAGTATTTTAACTATTTGCTATACAACTAGATCAACTTCATGCAGCGCTCTATAACCGAGATGTTTGGTATCAATGTAGCCGTGACCTATCAGCATGGATTTGACTATTAGTATAGAAGCCAGTAGCTAAATATTTCTGCATGATGATGATGTGTTGACAAATTTCAACATGGCATTTCTAAGCATTTTTTATTTTATTAGATGCATTACTGCATTTGTGCTATTTAGAAAATCATATTTTCCGTAACAATATTTTACAAATCTTTAATAGGGACTGGCCATCCTGTATCGTCTTTCCTTTCTGGAATCATTACTTTTTCATATGTTGATTTTTTAATATATAAGCAGTAATTTTTTTTTTATTTTTTTTTTACAGCAAATGTACCTTGCGTTTGTACGAAATTCAAAATTCACATCCGTCACTACTCTACCACTGATCAACTTCATGCAGCGCTCTATAACCGAGATGTTTGGTATCAATGTAGCCGTGACCTATCAGCATGGATTTGTGTACATACGTCAACTTGCTATCCACTTGCGCAATGCTATCACCGTGAAAGAAAAGGTAGTTTGGTTAACAATGGAAGTTTAAAAACCTTTTACTCTATTACATTATGTATGTATAGTGCTTAAAAGGATGCCCTTTGAACTATATATTTAATTGGTAAAGATAAGTAGGTTGTAATTGGTAATTATTTCTATTACAGATTATTTTACTATTGAAACGCTGTGAAATTCAGTGAACATTTGGTAAATTTACAAATATGCAGGGGGTTTGGAGGAACCCCCTGTAGTTTGTATTAGAAGGGCTCCTATTTTAGTATTGGATGAAGACATATTTTTAAAATGAATCTGATTTTAGTATGTATTTACTGTTTAACTTATTTTTTAATTTGGTCTCCATTTTCAGTTATTAAAACTTGTAAATAAACAATGGATATAAAATAACTCCCATATTGGACGGCATGTATTTGAACTAATACAAACTCAAATCAGAGGAATTTAATGTTGGATGCAAATTTACTTTTGGAAAAGTATAATAAATTGGACATGGTTATTATTTATTTTCATTGAGAACAAGCCATTTCGTAGTTGGAACTGCGCATGCCCTTATATCTATGGTCAGTCGACATAAGCATATGTTGCGTGTATGTGATGTATGTTTGTTTATGTAAATTGACCTTGATATGGGCATGCGCAGTCCAAACCACAAAATGGATAAATTATTGTATTGTATTGTTTTTCTGGTAATTCTAATTCTTAAACAAATAACCTTGAAATCTCATAGTAAATCCTATTCACATAATAATAATGGTCAACTTAGAGAGCGCATATTGTGGAGACTTATGCCCAAAAAAAGCAACATTGACATATTTACATTGATTTGATAGGTGATGTGTGTTTTTTTATATACTATTGTAGGATACCTACCAGTCTGTGTACAATTGGCAGTATATTCATTGCCTGACCTTGTGGTGTCGTGTTCTTGGTACGATCCAGCCATGCGATGCCCTACAACCTCTCATTTATCCTTTGGTCCAGACAGCTGTTGGGGTCATCAAGTAAGATACTTATACTAAAAATATGATTTAATTTTGAAAGGCTTGATTAATGCCGTTATAGTGTGTTTATTTATGGAGCTTTTGTTTGAGAACGTAAAACAAAAAACACAGAACAAAATTCATTCATTCATATATGACTGGCAACACATGCGGTGTTAGTTCTATTGTAAATCAGTTTGATTTTGACAATGTGGAGACATGACTAATATAAAACAAAATCTGTCCCATTTCAACTAGGTCAATCATACATAGATAAATATAGATTTGGCCGACGACTGGTCATGATTTTAAATGAAGGCTGCGGAGGAAAATCAAATTTTGATAATGCTGTTCAACTGATTTTTTTTAAGACTAAAAGGGTGTTTGACGAATGGTTAATGAGATACAGATTTTTGAATATTTGAAAACTATTATAAGAAGGTGAAAACAAAGGGTTGTTGCACCCTTTTTACCCCAGTTGTTTAATACTCAATTTTTGTGTCTAAAAATCAGTTGTACAATGTACCAAAAAATGTTTCATCTCTGGAGCCTGTTTTTAGGACACAAATTTCAGACATGCAGTTAAATTAACTTGACGTCATTGCATTCTACATTCTAAGCCATCGTGAATCAAATGCTCCCATTCATGACTGTTCAACAATACTTTTGTTCTATGAATCATTAATTAGTATAAGATCATTAAGGGTTTCAGATTAATATGCCTTTTAATTATATATTATGATGATTAAGACTGATAAAAACATCCTATTAAAATTATAATAGTCACTAATAATATAGTATTTAAATATCTCTAATAATAATAATTATATCACAGCTAACATTTCACAAGGATGTTAAATGATGATGAAATAATTTTTCTTATTTAAAAAAAAATTTAGATTGATACCATCTGAACGATATTATCCTCTGAGATTTCATGTTGTAAGAGCTTTGAACCTTTTATCGGACTCAACAGGTACATTTGTGCCCCTTTTGCCTTTCATATCAGAGGTAAATGAAACAATTCACTTATTGCATTTTCATTGTTATACACTACTCTAGAATTTATACAAATAATTATTGAACAAATTTAGAATGTGGAGCGTACATTCTAAATAATTATTGAACAAATTTAGAATGTACGCTCCACACACCTGCAGGTGAAGATGTACTTAGTATACAATAGCTGCTTACTATTATTTACTATTATTATTACTTATTATTTTTATTATTTTTCTATTGTTAAATTTATATTTTTTCCTATATTATTTCTGTGTAAAGCGCATATGAGTAAAGTGCTGTATGTGCTCTATAACATTATTATTATTGTTATAATATTACATTATATATGGTAGTGTATAATATATTATATATGGTACAGTGAATGCTAGTGCCAGTGGGGGAGGGGGGGACAAGGCCAAGGTCCCATTTGCATGTATAGAATGTGAGCAGCACCCAATTGGTGCTAATTTTTATTGGAAATGAGTATTTGTGAACTTAATTAATAATGTTTAGTAATAGGTCACATATGTTATGAAACAATAAAACCCCTTGATTGCAAAGACAATACTAGTTCCAAACTTACAGGTTCACAACAGTTGCATTTACTGCTATATTTGTTGTTCCTATACCTCAAAATATTAATTAGGTTTAATAAGGTAATAACAATATTTCATTGGTCAATTCCACTAGGTAAGGAATACGGTAGTTTTTACTACTTCCCTGAGTCTGCCAAATGTACACCTCCCCCCCCCCCCATGCCGCCTGTGTGAGCTGTATGTAAACTGTGCAATTTTACACTCGCAGATCGATATGGCTAATATAGACAGAAGGTTTGCTGTTTAATATTTATGAGGTATAGTAAAACAAATACAGCATGGTTTTATTTTGGTAAAGCAGTCAATTGCACTTACCTGATTGTTGCATGATTGGGATTACCTCCCTTCACTTCGCATTGGGAGGTAGTCCAAATCATCCAACACCTCAAGAAGTGGAATTCACTACTTAACCTCAAACCATGTTGTGTATGTATATTATTGCAGGTTCTTGAACAAACAAAATTTAACAATAAGAACTCCAGTGTCAGTATAAAGCCGATAAATTTTGCTGTGATATTAAAGCTGTCAAAGCCCCAACTAAATGAGAGAGCTTTCAGGGTAAGTGATGCATTTATGTTTATTTAGTTACTATTCTTATTTCGAAAAAGTAGACCAAAGCGTGACACTTTATTGTTTAACGTAAGAAAGTCAATTATTTGTCATTACTGTAGTCTATGCTTCGAGAAGTGAATTTGGAAACAATCAGCTTTGAACTTTTATTGATAAATTTTAAAAATTAAATTACAAACTAAATGACATTGTATAAATCTTCAGTAAAGGATACTTGCGATTCAGATTGTATAGTAAAAATACAATTTATATGTTATTTTTAATACCGGCATGGTTGTCTTCTCTTCAGAAGAATTCTTATTCCTGTCATATGTATGTAAATTTATTTAAACTTTAGTCATTCAGATTAGGCCAGATAGAATTCCTGATTGGCAGTGGATTTCCCAATTTCTGAAAAGGAGAGCATGCGCACATACTCTTGGACGCACCGCCTTCCATTCCAGTGTTGAATTGGCTATTCTCCCGTCACCGCACGGTTGTCACAATAGTGTATTCAAGCGTTGTAGGGTATGCTCTGACTCCCATCGACTCACTTAATACATGCGGAAATTTGAAGCAGCTGAGAGTACGATGCGATAGGCCCGACTGTGACTTAACCTAGATACCAAAGTAGGCCAATCATTGAAAAACTTTGCTATTCCAATGAACTGTGGCATTCAATTCGAAAAATTAAGGTTTAAATAGATTCTGACTAAGAAATGCTAAATAAAACAGAGAAACTGTATTACTATATTTTTTAAAATTTGTTTTATCCAGGGTATGCACTTGATACCTTGCATGCCTTGATGGTCTGCCACTAGATACAGAGATACAGGAGAGAGGAATGTCAAAGGTGATATGTGAAAGAATGGTTTATTATTTTTGTCCATAAAACCCAACAGGCAGTCTACTTATGTGCTTTAAAATTGCAGCTTTTAAATTATATGTGTTGTATTTTCATTGATTTACTCACATTATTTATAACAACTGTTGGTTTTGCTTTTTGTAGGATGGTGTAATTGAACAGGTGTGCGACTTACTCCTGGATCACATGCAAATTCACAGTCATTGTATTGGTTTTCCAGAACTTGCGTTGCCAGCAGTCATCCAGGTAAGATTCACCAGCCAATAATTATTGTAAAAGGTGTATGGCAAACATTATTTTTTTAGTATCTGAGTTAATATAACGCCTTTCACGATCCGAAGAATATGCAAGGCTCTGGCATCATTATTTCCTGGTCACTGGATACTGACTTGGCAAATCGGCACATTTTTATGCAACTCTCTCTGCTCCCTGGGGAGTATTCCTAGTCGTGCTGCTTTGATCATGACAACCTATGCATTCAATGCCATACCATCCTGCCCAGGTAACCATTTATACTCCTAGGTGGAGAGAGGTAAACGTAGGTAAAGTGCCTTGATCAAGAACACAGGCAATGGGACGACCATCAATCTCGAACTCTCTATCTCGCAATCAGATGTCCAACACCTTACACTCTGCGCCACATGTAGTTGGTCACATGCCTGTTTCCAGTATTTATATGTTTTTGAATTAAATGACAATTTTTTCCCTACTTTTTTTTTTTGCAGTTGAAGCGATTTTTAAAAACCTGCAAAGTGACCAATCATAGCAAACCCATCAAAATAATTCTTGAGAAAATTCAGGAGAATATTGCCATGGTAACAAAGAAACGTGACACGGTGACATTTAGCATAGCAGATAGTCAAGCTGTTGTAAGTTAGCTTCACCAAATACTGTAATCGTAGCCTAATATTAAAATGAAAAATGTTAATCAATTTTATATCTTGTATTGGACCTTTGTAATGTATTTCTCATGTACTATATACTTTAATTTGTATATCTGTGATATTGATGTAACCTTCTCAATTTAGCTGCAAAGCTACATAATGATACATGTCTCTCTCCAATTAAAGACCATTTTTGGGGCCATATTTTCCATGGTCATTAGTGGTTTTGGTCTCTAACTAGAATAATAAAGACAAAAAACATTTGCTAACTTGGAACCACAGAAAAGTATTGTTTAATTGGAGGTGGTTTTTGATTGGAGGGGTCTTTAATTAGAGGCCGACTGTATATATACATTTTGAATCTCATGTAGCATAAATTTGGTTTTTGTGAATTCAAACTCGATTTTGTTGTATATTATTTGTATTTAAAGTCTAAGTGGGAGAAGAATTTGAAAGACCAGTTAACACCCTTAATGAAACACTACACAATGTACAAGAGGCAGAGGCAGCAAGAACTCCTGGCAGAGGAAGCTGGCAAAGACAGGGTGAGCATTTTGTATTGTATTATGAATCAAAATCTTAAGCCGGTCATCCATGTTAACCACAAAACCAATTGACACCTTTGTTTGTTGCCTGCAAGGTGGCTTAACATTAGGAAAACATCAAATAATTGTATTCAGATTTTTGGTTACAGCATTGTTGTCTTATTCGACACATACAATTTTACTATTTTTGTTTTTAAATGGAAAAGGCATGGGCTATAATTGGCAACAACTGTCATGTGTATTAATTTGAAATCATGTAATATGCTAGAAACAATGAAAGGTTATTTGTAAAAAGAGTTTATGAACAATAGCTAACATTCTTTTACTTTTTCTTAGCTAATTGATGATGAAATACCAACAATTGAAAGGAAAGAGAAGCAGAAAAAGGAAGACAGAGTGGAGTTTAGTGACCTTTTCAACTCTGGAAGTGATTCTGAAGATGATATATTAGAGAGAGCAGAAAGGAAACTTCAAAGGAAGATGCAGAATTTGTCAGAGTCTGATGAGTCTGAAGATGACCTGAGTGATCTTGATGACATCGGAACCTCTGATCTTGAAGACTTATCAGAAGATGAGGAAAGTGGTGAGGAAAATGACGAGGAAGAGGAAAAACCTGCTGGAAGAAGGAAAAAAGAAAGAACAGCTCAAACAAATTTTAAGATAAATGGAATGAAAAGTAAAGAGAAATATCAACCAAGTAATTCTGGCAATGATGCTGAAGATATTGTAGAGGACTTCCATTTCTCATCTGATTCTGAAGATGACTAAGGATTAGTCCTACTATTAATCATTATAGGATACATTACTTCATAGAGCAAAACATTCTTAAGTTACATTTGATTTTACTCAACCAATTCATATCTATTTGTGGAATTTTTTTAATAAGAATGGCCATCGGAGATGAATACAAGAGTCATATAGCCACATACTCATTGCAAAAATGTCATCAAAAAATTAGCATTTTAATACCAAACATGAAATATGGATTATTAATAGGGAGGTTTCGATTGGGAACACATACAGTTAAGCCGGGCACTGACTGCGTCGCACAATGGTAGCAGTCGGAATGGATCGTCATTAAAAACGATCCGTTGGGCACATCTTCGCGTTGCATTCTTCACAGAATCGCGTCAGCCGACAACCGTCATGCGCAGTGAGTGCCCGACTTTAGTATGACATGTACGTCATCATTTATGACTTCATACGCCGGTTGCTATCTACTGTGTGGACGACACGCATATCTCACTCATTACACGTAAGTGAAAAATGCATAGGAAAAGTTTGTATTTCTAATAGAATCTTCGTTTTTTTTCACATTTTACAGCAAGTTTTAAAAAATAAATGTATCTTTAATACGTACATGCTATTTTTGTGACTTTTTTTGAGGTAGTAAAAAACGTTGGTGGTTGGTGGTGTCAGGATTTTCCTGTAGGCCTAGTTAGGGTCCTCCCCAGCTCGGTCTATAGTAGCCAGGCTTTTTTGGGCCACAAAATGACCAACTCTTCTGGGCAACAAGGGAAGGAGTATTATTTGGCTACCACTTCCAATTTCCAAAACCTTGCATACTAAAATTTAGGCAATGCCAAAATTTGATTTTGAGAAGCATGATGATAGAAGAAAGTGGAATAAGCCTAGCCTAGGCTAGGCCTAAGGCCCTACGCTTAAATTTCACTGTCATTGGGAAAAGCACAGCATGGCTACAAACCGTTATGTATAGCTAAACCTATGCGTACATGTATTCATTTGTGTGTGAAACCTCTCTAATATTGATAGATGGCATTACAAGTTTTATATTGGTCTTTAAATCATGTTCCTAGGTATGAGTTCAATCAAGGTAATATTTGGAAATTCTGACGGCTGAAAACTTATTTTGGAGATACCTCACCTGAAAATGCACTTAACTATAATACAATTTATATTTTTTGGTAAAATATATGAATTACTAGTTGTAATGTGTTTTAGATGTTTAAAAAAAAATCCCTCTATGTTCATTAAAGTATTCTATATACAAATAAAACAACCAAAGCTCTTAATTATTTGTGATGAAGAAACGTATTGGTTATTAGAATGTACTGTCATTTAATGCTTGTATATCAGGTTGATTTAATTATTTGAGTGAAGTTTGTTTCATAAAATATCTGAAGTGCATTGTTAAAAATTTAATAGAGTGCACTTACTGAAATTAACTGTATAGCAGAATGCATTTACTTGAGTCTGGAATTGACGCTGTAGCATAATTGCGTAATGTCTCTGACCTGACATGATAATTGCTTAATGTCTCTGACCTGACATGATAATTGCTTGTAAGCTTTTGAAGAGTAAATTATCAACATGTGCATCTGGCGAAAACTTAGAAATAATCAGCCTTCTCCAAATCGGCTTTAAAGTTTGTTAATGTTACATGCAAACATTGATGGCAATTCCATAAAAATCTACAGCCTTACAGGTAAATGAATTTCTCTTATGGTTGGTTTTAGAATATCTGATCTTTAGTACTCGCTATCAAGTTAACCAGCAGATTTCTTATCTATGCTTAATTATTATAAACAATTAAATAAAAATAGCTTCTTTGTCTTCAGTAAACGTGTGGAAGGTTACAAGCTTTAAGATGATCTGGATATGACAGTAGTGACTCAGGAATTTTGCCCAAGTCGAATCCAAAATGCCATTGAAAAATTGTTCGACTTGGATAAAATTCGACTTATAGATAGATTGGTAATTAATGGAAAACACAATAATTTGGCATGTAAAATTATTTGAGATAGGCAAAGTCGACTTAGGCAAGTTTCACTGTAGATGGGATCCAGACTCCTCAACTCCTGAGGATGCACTTTTCGATGGCCAGAAATTTCACCCATTAAAACAAAGTTGACAATTTATAGGGGCTTGGGCCAATTAAATCTGCCTTTGGCTGTCAAATCAATGAAATAAAGGGTGTAGCAAGTTCCTGAACTTCGTAATGGAACTAAACACCAAGTTATGATACTTTCAAATCTAAATGGCATTGAAAAATTGTTAGACCCAGATTGTTAATAGACAAGGTTAGGCTAGTGAAAAAACAGTGGAAAGCAAATCGGAGACAATACTGTAGAACATTCTTAATTCTTTAATGTCAATTGACAGAACAATTAGAAACAAACACTTCATAAAACCACAATATAAACCATAAGTGAAGACCTGGTTAAAAATTAACAATAGAACACTTCAAATTATACTGTGCATGTTTTTAAAATACCATAATATTTTGCAGCTTAGCCATAGGATACAATTTTTTAGTATTAAGAAAAATTCAAAATGAAATAACATGAACCTGTGTCAATCACTGAGGTCTACTCAAATCTCGCATTTCACAAGCACCATACATTATTTTTTTCGCTAAGCACCACTCTTGAATAAGCGCCGCAACACTGATTCAAGATTATTCTATTTTAAATAGGGCAAGTGCCGCGGTGCTTGAAAGTACATATTATTACTTTATCAATAGGTACTGAACTACGGCAGGAATGCGTGAGAAAGGTAACAATGTGGGAACGGGGATAAAAAGCACCACGCCATATTTTTTAAATAAGCTAAAGTCTTCAGGAATTTATAAGCGCTGCTGCGCTTATTTAAGCATTCACGGTATGGGACTAAAACATTTTTCATACTCATTTGGCCTCATTACAGTTGTTGGAAAGGTAAATTTTTGTTTATACTGTATATTGCACAAAATAGACATAAATAAGCTTGAATTTCTCTAGCAATTAAAAAAAATATTGCAACAAACTTGCTTCTAGACTTCAAAGAAATACTTGTTCCTATACAATATTTTCAAAAAAAGATACTGAAATATAGTATAAAAATTATTCTATAAATACACAGTTATCTCTTGCACCATCCCTTTATTAACACTCGCATTTTATACTAAATTTGACATTCAACATTTTCCTCAAAATTTACACTAATTTTAAGGATTTTGAATCGTACTGCTATAGGCCTATTGCTTAACTAAAATTTCTTCAAAAATGCAGAATCATTTTTTAAGATGTACTGTACTGTAATTACAATTATAACACAGTATGTGACATTTTCCCACAAAACCAGGAAAAAGGATTGGAGAAAATTAATAAGCTGTTAGGTCTCAAATATCAAGGTATTCTATTATTATTATTAATCATCTTACAACATTACAAGTTACAACATTTTTTTTAACATGCATTATGTTTAGTGGAAAGAAGCTAAACATAATAATGAACAGTATACCATTCTAACAGTAATAACAGCTATTTAAAACAATATACCTGTACATGATATATAATTTTTCAACCTGTACAGGTTTTGTGGCAACATGTGACATGCTCTTATGACCGTAATAGTATTTTAATATGTTTTTGTAAAACTTGCTTTTAACTTATAAACTAGACTGAAAGTAACACACTCATACATTCAATTTCGGTGATCTGAGTACCCACTAACCCTCAAGAATGAACTTTTGGTGGCCAAGGGGTCTTTACTGAAGATATACAAAAATAAATACTTAAGCTGGAAATGATTTGGATGGTATGTATTCATTGATCAGAAGTACTGTTCCACAGTTTAGAAAAGTAACAACCATCTTACTGTTGCATACAAAGTTAATATTTCTGTTTTTGTCTATTCCTCTCAAAAATAGACATCAATGCCTTAAAATTAGTTAAAAGTAGAACTTAACATACATGCTTAAAATATAAAATGTCTTGTCAAACCAATCTTATAATATGCACAGTTATCCTGATTATATGCATGTCTTCTAGGATGTGGATGTAATATGTAGCAAGGGACATTCATGGCAGTTAGATAAACTATTCCTCTATTTCAAATGGTTGTGAATCATTGTCATCTATATCATGCTTTATTGCATCTTTTGTTGACTCTATGTGATCCCATGAACCTATATCTGGTGTCGAGGCCAAGGTCTGTTGATAGTCCATTTGATTGTCATTTGATTGTACTACCTGATTTTCCATATTTGGTCTTCCAAGGAACTCAAATACTTCCGATGATTTTGGACTCAAATCCTTATGATCAACCTCAGGCATCTCTGATTGGTATTCACTATTTTTGACGGCTTTATCTAGCTCCTGAAAATCTTCTGATTTGTTTTCCTTTTGATATAATGATACATCAGATGACTGCACACTTTGTTGGTCACTGCTCTGACATTTTGAAGCATCATTTTTCAACATACTTTCATGTGCCGTTTCAGGTTTCACATTAGAAGTGTCCTTCATAGTTGGTGGCTTAAAGCATTTCTTGGAACACTTATCAGAATGATTTTCCTTTTTCCTAGGTGCTTTAAATGTTGGTTTCAACTTCTTTCCTTTAGAACCATCTATTCCATGTTCTTTTGTTTCTGTAACCATATTATGAACCACTGATTCCTGTCTGGTTTCTAGTTGTACTGGCAGTTTCTTCTGTATTTTAGCATATTTCTTTATTCCTTTTAAATCACTTTTCTTATCTGTTCCCTTACATTCCAAGGTGTTGAACTTCAATTGATCTCTTTCATTTGGTCCTGTATTTTCAGTTTTTTCTTCTAAAATTTGTTTCTTCTTTTTCTTCTTCATTTTCTTACTCTTTCCTTCACTTTCCATATCTGTTTGCCCATGCATCTTCATATTTTCACCTGTTTCAATCGGTTGAACTTTTTCAGACCTTTCTTCTAAAATTTGTTTCTTCTTTTTCTTCTTCATTTTCTTACTCTTTTCTTCACTCTCCACATCAGTTTGGCTATGCATCTTGATATCTTCATCCATTCCAATCAGTCCAGTACTTTCAGTCTTGTCATCCAATATTTGTTTCTTCTTTTTCTTCTTCATTTTCTCACTCTTTTCTTCACCCTCCACATCTGTTTGACCATGCATCTTGATATCTTCATCTGTTTCAATCAACCCAGTACTTTCAGTATGCACCTTGATATCGTCATCCATTCTAATCGGTCCAGTATTTTCAGTCCTGTCTTCTAAAATTTGTTTCTTCTTTTGCTCCTTCATTTTCTCACTCTTTTCTTCACTCTGATCCACTTCTGTTTGACCACGCATCTTGATATCTTCATCTGTTTCAAGCAACCTAGTACTTTCAGTATGCATCTTGATATCTTCATCCATTCCAATCGGTCCAGTATTTTCAGTCTTGTCTTCTAAAATTTGTTTCTTCTTTTTCTTCATTTTCTTACTCTTTTCTTCATTCTCCACATATGTTTGACCATGCATTTTGATATCTTCACCTGTTTCAATCTTTCCAGTATTTTCAATCCTGGATTCTGCAACTTGTTTCTTCCTTTTCTTCTTCATTATATTATTTTTTCCTTCACTCTCCACATCCGCTTGAACATCACCATCAAAATCAAATACGCTGTGTGACGCCTTAGGTTTACTTCCCATATCAGTTTTGTTACTACCTACACTGTTTGTGGTATCAACTTCCTTTCTGCTCTTCTTTATTTTCAGATGATTGCTTTTATCAATTCTTCTTTTTCTTGTCTTTTCCTTCTTCAACAAACCTGAACTCATCTCAAGTCCATTACCATCGGCAACACCTAACAATGGAGTAAAATTGTATGTCATTTATTCTATTTACTACATTGTCAAATATTTTCCCTAGCTAAAATCATTTCCATGACCTTAAAGGCCCAGAAAAACACTTAAACTTCAGATTTAGGAAATACGATTCTACAACATGCTCATTTTAAATAACTGAATTTGAAAACCTATTTTGTTTGAAGGTTTGCATGGCGAAGTAATAACATATATGTTTAAGCTTGCGGTACAACACGTAGGTAGTTCTGAACTTTTCAGTACTACCTACGTGGTGTACCGCAAGCTTAAACATATATGAAAACCTATTTTGTCATACTCTTACCATCTGATTCCAAACCTTCCATGTTTTGTGAGCAACTATCAAGCACTGCATTTTCTTTGGAATTTGGTTCATCATTTTCACTCTTCTGTTCAACGTCAACCTTCTTTCCATAACCTGGCCATTCAGCTTGGAATTCTAAGGATGTATTTAATTAATAATAAATGCATTATGGACCTGTGTTGTCAAAGCTGCAACAGATGCATTATTACTACTGTATTATTATTACCACTGTAGTATCCTATCTTATCATTTGTTTTTTTTTTTTTTAAATATAGCTTAATAGTATGATAATTTAGTGAAATTCAGTAGTGTATATTCATTTGATTGATTTTTATTAATTTCATATTGACAATCAGATGATGATGCAATAATAATAATAATAATAATAATAATAATAATAATATAATAATAATGTGCTAAGTCGGACTTATCTTTTGTGTTATTTACCCCTTAACATCATGTTCTTTTCCCCCCTTAACATTGTTTTATTAACTGTTTAATTTCTCCATTGTCTAAGTTCCTCTTAAGGTAGGTTTTTCAGTAACAATAATAATAATAATAATAATAATAATAATAATAATAATAATAATAATAATAATAATAATAATATACTTATAATGCACCATCTATCTAAAAACACAAACCAATTCCAGGGCTCAACATAAAATATGGAAAACCATGTGTAATATTAAACCACAATATTGTAATTTAAAAAAAAAAAAATGAGATGACTTATGATTAGCAAAAGCAGTGTAAACACACTAGTTAATATAAAATGCACAAACTAACCTTCTGCGAGTGATGAATCAGCTCCGCCCCATTTGCCCTTAAAGTGCGAGCTGAACCCATACTCCACAATTCGCTCCTATAAAATATATTTTAGAGATAGCATAGGTACAGGTATATGCAGGGGCGGATCCAGAGATGTCAAAATGGGGGGGGGCCCCCAAAGTGGGGACCGATCAAGATAACACTAGCCTAGGTGGTCCGGGGAATTCCTCCGCAAAATGTTTGTGTTCTAGATACCTGATAATAACCTGAGACATTTTGGCACCCAATTATTTCTTTTTCTTTTTTCTCTATTTTTTTCTTTTATTTTGACTTTGCAAAAGGGGTGGCAAAACCTATCCCTCTATTCTATAAATAGATTATCTTATTCATGGACCGCATCTTGATAGACTTACCTTTATTGGAAGATCTTTGGCCCTCATTGCTGCCTGCTTAGCATCCTCTAATTGTGCTAGCAGCTTTCCTTTCACTTTTACCTGTTAAAAAGACAGCAGTTATGATTTTATTAATTCCAGTTGTTTATCTCAGTTCCTTGTGTATGAAACTTATCTTGACTGTCATACTGACCCATTAATCCACTGATTGATTGACCCACATACCCTCACCTAGTCAAGATATGCAAGGAATAGAAACAAATAAAATCTTAAAAAATGGAGACATTGGCGAATCGAATTGTCGAGCGGTTAAAGCAGGGGCGCTGCAACCTACAGCGCTGGTTCAAACGGTATGCTCGCCTTTGGTTCTGGTGGTGGAGCAAGTCTTCTCAGATAAGGACTATAAACCGTAGGCCCAGTGTACACAATGGCTCGTGTGCACTAAAAAAAAACCCAGTACATCCTTCGAGACGAGTAGGGGAATACCACGGTGTACTGGTACAGACAGTCCCTGTGGTGGACAACGAGAGTTTCTGGTACCGGGCTACCGGGTAAACACAGACACGAAGAAACCCTTAGAGGCGAAGAAAATCATTGATCGTGCTACTAGTCCACGTATCAAGTGCCATGAGCATTTTGTTTGATGGATACCGGTGCTATACAAATCTACACTATTATTCTTATTATTATTATCAATATTAATATTATTATTATATTACTTACAACACCAGGAGACTGCTCTGGGCTTAGAAAGAGTCTGATTGAAGATCTATTAATCCATGCACGAGTAATGTTCTTGTCAAGAAATACCACATGGTAATCACTCTGAGGAGGCAAGCCAAGAATATTTATCAATGTTAAAGAGATTTATAAGTATTATTCATTGTAACAAATACTGTATGTGAAAACCAAACATCATCACCATCAAAACTATAACATCCATAACAAAGTATATTTCTTGATATTCAGATTAAAAAACCGACCAATCAGAACAGGCACACAAACACACATTTTTGTCTCTCAAATGATATGTTTACGTATACTACATTAAACAATGTTGTTTTGTAAAACCTGTGCAACCATACCCATGGGGCTGGGTTTCATTCTGTTATACGATAGCATCACTTACTGGTACTGACCGCCATTCATCTACTAGCCAGAAGTATTCACCAACATTTGGGTCCTCTTCTATCATAGCAGGCCACCTGCAAAATATCACTCAATAGTTAAGCACCAAAATTTACTGTAAGTGGTGTTGGATGGCACTGTGACATTATCATTATATTCACAAAGAATTTCTCAAAATCCATTTCTATTTTGATAAAAGTAGAGTTTTAAAAATACCTATAATTATCATTATTACAGATTAATTATCTGTGGCAAAATATGGAAAAAAAATATCTTCGATTAAAAGGATCAAACAAGTTACCCACTTCCATCAATAATATATATTGAGACAATGCATTATTTTTGGCCGGTTTATTTATGTGCATAAAATCCATCTATTTTTTTAGTTTATTGTAATAAAATTAATTTAGTCAAGTTTTTCATCTGACAAGGAAATATTTTCATTAAGCCAATTCATTGTTTGAACTGCGCATACTCGTATCCAAGGTCAATCGACAAACCTATGTTGTGTGTGTTTGTTTATGTTTATTAACCTTGACACAGGTATATGTAGTTCAAACTTTGAATTGGCTTACTTAAAGCTAATAATCTACTAAAATTTATTTGTTTAACACATGACTGTACAGTATCTTTAATATGATATTGCATACATGTAATAAATAGGTAGATTTGTGTTATCTGGGATTCAGAATTGTTATCTGGTATCTTTGATTAAAATGATCTATTTACCATGGATAGCCTGAAAGCTTAGCCCACACAATACTTCCTATAGTAAACTTTGTGTCAACAAATCCCTGTTGTTCTTCCACACTTTTCCAGTTAGCTTCAGGTTTATTACAACTATTAAAATCAGATTCTAAGAAAAAATAAAAACAATTGATAATTACCAGTAAATTGATAAATTTCACTGTCACAGTATAATTACACATAGTGAACTTTTATATACAGTAAAATCTCTATTAAAAGGACACCTTCAGGACCAATAAAAATGTACCCTTTATTTGGGTGTCTCTTGATTGAACATGGGTTAACAACATTGTTATTAAAAAACATTCCCTTGCTCTGAGACCAAAAAATGTTCCCTTATTAAGGGCATCCCAAAGGAGGGTATTACTGAATTTTACTCTTGTTTAATTGATCAAGCTATGGTATGAATTTTAATATAAAGAGTGATTTAAAAATTCATAAAATAATCTATTACTTTATATCAAAATTAAATATATTAAAATATTATCAATAAATATAGATTTTTTTTACCAGAGTTTAGTTCACAAGACCACAGCTCTTCTATAGTAGACGGATCAGTGACATCAGCCAAGTATCGCCATTTCTTGCAGTCTGCCTGTGTACACTGTACCCACACACCACGCTCTGGAATATGTCGTTCCTTGAAGACAGTTTTCATGCATTGCAACTTCTCCTTTGAACTTTTCCTTTCTTGAGTTTTGCTCTTACCAGTATCTTGCTTCATTTCTTCATCTGACAATTGTCTGTATTGCTTGTAGTCATGTTGAAATTTATTTGATGATTCATTAACTGAGCTGTTCAAAGCCTTGCCCTTTTTGCTCTTTGATAAAAGGTTCTTTATTTTTTTCCCTTAATAAAAAAAATATGAAATACACTGCTAGTATACAACTTGTACCTCTTTTACAACCAAAAATTAATTGAGAATTGAGGCTAGAATTACCTTTTGATTGAAGTGTTTTGACATTTTTTGTATGAGTTTCGTCATATGTTATCAGCTTTGGATAGGATGTCACATCCTCATCATCACTCATCAAAGGAGTCTCAAGTTCAGCAGCTATCCTGTAGGAAATATGTACAGCGAGGCACATTGACAGTAAAACAGAAAACATGAAAAAATGAAACAAAGTTGCTGCCAATGTTGGGATGGCAAAAAGTGCATAATAAAGCATCTCTGAAATATGTGTACTGTCTCATCACAAAGCATCTGATATCCTATTATCATAATTATAAAACTGTAGGGCTACAGACTGACATTTCTTTCTTTCTTTATTCAATTTCAAATGCTTTACATAAAATTGCAGTCACATAAAAATGTTTAAATACATTTAAGGCAGATGGAGAGCTAGCACCGACATGGAGTCTATCAACTGCTAGCTGCCCACTAATAATAAATCTGAGTATGTTATAAAATAAACCTGTTAAATTTGACAATTACACTAAAGTCTCTCAAAACTATCATATTTACAGCCTTGTTATATCCTACTAGACAAATACTTTCTTTACTGTAATTCTTTTAGAACTATGAATTCAAGAAAACAAAAACATAAAGCAAGATCTATTCACACTTATTAAATTTTATGTGACAAATGTGTATGATGTGACAAATGTATGATGTGCCCATATTACGCCCAGTGCGATAGTGTGGATAGAACTTTGTGCTTAATTAAAACTTACAGTTGACTTAAGTCCATGTTGTTTACATCTTCATAATACTCTGTGACATCCTTAAGTTTGTTGTTGACAAGTTCATTATGATTATCATCAATTTCACAGTAGCTGTATGGTTTCTGTGAATCTGTTGAAAAAATAATGAGCACCTAATCAAATTTGCTGTACATTTATAATATTGGATTGAGGTGAGTGTACAATACATTTATTTACAACAAAGATACATATTTGCATGTTTCCGTAAAGTGTAGGCCTATTTATTTACATTAAAATTACAAAATGCAGGGATGTAGTTATATTGGGCAAAGGTGTGCGGGGCCATCCATCTTTCAAGTTTTCCACCCTGTCCAAAGATAATTTCATGGCCTCCACCCACCCTTATTAACCTACTTTTCTACCCTTAAATCTAGTCTTATTATTTAGAGATTACCAATGTTATCACCCACCCACCCTTAAAATGTCTAACCCCCACCCTTAGTTTTCCACAGCTACAACCCCAAAAATTCTCATATGACATCTGCATCATAGTAGCATGAGGTAAACAACAAAATATTTTTTATTACCAAGTCAAAAGTTTCCAAAGTTTTTATGAAGGAGGGAGTGAAATCTAACTACTTTTTCTATCGACCTTTATACACATGGGCTGCATTTCGAGAGATAGGCTAAGACTTAATTTTTGGCAAAAAACTGCATGCACGGAAATCAGACATTATTTTTTTTCCAAATGAGTACAAAATTCTAGGCCTACCTAGGCCTAATTTTTGCATCTAGGACTGAGGCTATTTCCCTGTGTAAGCCTTACTTTAATAATAGATGGATAATAGATAAATTTATATAGCGCAAATAAAAGAGGTCTCTATGCACTCGACAATATTGTAGTCAAGAAAACAAAGAAAAAAGCCAGAAAAAAAAACAAGAAAAACAATAAACACCAAGCTAGCACTCAAACCAAACCGAAGTATGGGGTTTACACTATTTACAGTCTGAGTCTGGCATTATTTTTTTGGAGACAAACACCAAACAATACCTTTTTCATGTTGGCTTTTTTCAAGCTCCTTCCTTGCATTTGCAACTGCTTTTCTTGCTAAATTTGCATATTTCTCATCTGTCAGCATTTTCACGAACTTAAATTTGTACACTGTTCTGTAGGCAATCTTATTTCTTATAATATAGGCCTAGGCCTATGCAAACCTGAAAGAAAAGTACCAAACACACAAAAATACAAAAACAAAACAGTGGTAGGCCTAGGCTAGGCTATCATCGTATTAGGCCTAGGCCTATATAGCCTAGCCTAGAAGGCCTAGGGCCATAGGTATACTATATAAGCCTAGCCTAGGCCGAGCTACTGAGTGTACTTGGCCTACCTAGGCCTAGCTCATGGCCTAGGCCTACTACTTACTACTATACTACTAACTAGCGGCCCTAGCCTAGCCAGGCTAGGCCCACCAAGCCCAGCCTAGGCCTAGAGGTAGGCCTAGGCCCATGCATGTAAGGCCTAGGCTAGCCTAGGCCAACCTCCTAGAATATGGGCTACCTACTGTAGCCTAGGCCTACCTCCCTACTAGGTATAGGCCTAGGCCTGGCTGGGCCCTCCTGCCTAGGCCCTAGGCTAGGCCTAGGCCTAGGCTAGTGTAGGTAGGTACTCTAGCTCTAATGACTTAGTTAGGCCTACAGAATGAGAAAAACATCTTGCCCTTAATTCCGTGTCTCAGGAAAGTTGAATTGTTACCTGACTGAGGCACTCCTTCTGAGACTGAAGTTTCTTTTTCTTTTTGTTGTTTTTTTGTTGTTTTTTTTTTGTCGTCTGCCCCAAAGTTAAAACTCCCACACTTTTCAATTCTATAGGTGGCGCTCTTCAGCTGGCAAAAAACGAAACGAAATTGTGTCGACGACGATGCAAGAGAACGCACGGAGCGAGGGGATCGGGAGATGTTGGCTTGGTTTGAAGGCATAGTTTCATACTTTGCCGAGGTATTAGACAAAAATAATTTACCAATTGAGAGACGAGTATCACAGTTTTTATTTTAGTCCTAACTTTTGTGTATATTTCTAGGTCGATATCGAAACACCGTTAGTTCTATTGGAGGGCTTCGAGAAAAGATTGGGCTCGATCTGGGCAGCTGCTGTCACATTGCATATTTTATGCAAATATATTGGCCCATGACCTTTCAGTCAGCGAGGAGTGGACTCTGTTTACAAACTTCATTCGGTGATTGCAAACTATATATTTGGATAATGTAGATAAATATATTCGATATGGCTTCTGTAGGAACTCAAAATTCATTAAACGGAATTAGGCCGGGCGATACTGGTTCAAAACCCGGTCATTTGTCTAGGGAAGTGATAGGTTGTGTGAGCGAGACCAGACGGCACGCAGCCAAAGTTGGTCCAGGGACAGTCTCTGATGCTTTGCCAAAGCAGCTATGTGGGCAACTAAAATGTTTAGAGGATAGTTCCTCCAAAAATATGCAGGACCGAGCACTAACTGTTGATTCAAAAAATGTAATTGTTAATCAAAGTGATGGATTAAAGGCAATTGATTTGAATTTCAAAGGACATAACACTGCTAATAGGTTACCTAGATCAAAGAGACAAAGTTTGCATTATCCATCCAAAAATGCGGGACCCATCAAAAAGCGTCGAAGAACTGTGGAAAAGATTGTTCCAACCAAATTCCTCCTCGGAGGAAATTTTCATGACCCTTTGAATTTAAATAGTTTGACCAATGAAATTGACGAAAAGACCCCAGCGACTTCACCGTTACCGCATTTAAACAAGGATCCAGATCCTGTCATAATACCACGAGATATAACAGATCCTCTGAAATTGAACTCTGTCAGTAGTGAAGATGACGAGCCACAGCTGACAACAACAATTTTTTCTCGTAAATTATCATCTGCAAAGAAAAGGAAGAGAGTCTCACGTGGTGAAAAGAAAGAAGACGAAAGTGAACTATGTGATCGTACTAAACGACGAATGCTGGAACTAAATCTTGACACTGCCGTCAAAATCAATATTGTACCCGATAGGAATCTCGACAAAATAGTATCGCCTGTTCTTCCAGAAACTGTAAAAGGTAGAAAAAGAAAAAGAGTGGAACCTACGAACAAATTATCCAAAGCTCTCCTAATAGAAAGTGATCATGTCAAGGAACGAACTGTTACAGGAACTGACATCAAACGAAGAAAAATATCTCCAGAGAAGTCAAAATACCGGCGACAAAGCAGTAAAGATAATCAATCAAAGCAAGCTCCTAAGTTCAAAAGTCAGAATAAGAAATTCCAATATGGTAATTACACACGTTACTATGGATACCGAAATCCAGAAGATGAAGACGTTCGGTTGGGGCTCTTTCGTAAGGAATGGTTCGAAGGCAAAGTATGTTTAGACATAGGATGCAACACCGGACATGTGACTCTCTACGTAGCTAAAAATTTTGCTCCGGTAAAGATCACAGGCATTGACATCGATGGTAACCTGATAGGTATGGCGCGCAAGAATATTAAACATTGTCTGCTTATTGAAAGAGATGCAAAAACAAAAGAAGGTGGACAGTTTCCTACTGCCATGGCAACATCGTTTGGTCATGTGAAAGACCTACCCAAAGAATCTGTTGGTGTTGCATCAAGTTTTCCAGCAAATGTGATGTTTAGATGTGTAAGTACTGTAATGGATGTTTTATTTTTTTATTTTTTTTTGCTTATTTTCACTTACAGCAATTTTATTTTAAGATCTGGTTTTAATTATCGTAACAACTGTATACTGCAAACCTTTGTATTTCAATCCAATAATATAAAATCTACTCTATAAACTTAATATTGAAAAGCTACCTGAGCGACCAAATGTACCAGATACAAGTCAGTAAAGATAAAAAGAAGTTGAGATGATCCCTTACTACTAAAGTTCAGAGTTCATACACTTCACTTTCAAAACAAGAACCAACTTGTCTAGGCCTAATTTTTGGCAAATATTTGAAGTATTTAAAAATATTTATAAAAGTATTAAACAACTTTGCTTTATTTCCAGACTCCAAAATTTAACAGGGTTTTTTTTTTCTGGTTTGCTTTATATTTTTTCCTGATTTTACAGTGGAACAGTGGCAGCTGTAGGATATATTTTATGGCGCTAAATTGAGCTGTCCAACAGGGGGTAGGGGATGGCGGCTGAGTTAGATGAGGATAACTTTGGCGTGCAAACCAAAAGCCGTAGGCCTCAAGCGGGGGAAGGGGGGTTGTGGAAAGGCCCTGCTAAATTTTGTAGTGGGACTTCAATACTGTACTTCTGCTTATATATTTTATAGATTTTAAATCCGCAGATGTTCCAACTCTTCTGATTTGATCAGGAGCAGTGGCGGCTCTAGGATATATTTTCTGGGCGGGCTAAGTTGTCCGACAGGGGGGACTTGAGCTCGTAGGCTCGAGCTGGGGGAAGGGGTTGAGAGGGGGTTCCCCTCCCAAATGAGATTTTTTTTAAAGAATATCAATCTCTAGATGGCCGAAAATGGCACTCTCAGACTGTGACAGACATGTGTTGGCTTGGTGTGGGCCTATTTTTATATGTTTCATGTTCTGACTGCTCGACGAGCTCTGTCCGGCGGGGAGCTTGACCTGTCCGGTGGGTGGGGGGGGGCTTAAGCCCCCTCCCCCCGCTGGTGCCGCCACTGATCAGGAGTCTCCCAAATTGTAATTCAATCTGCCCTTCTCCAGAATTTTGTCAAATTCTCCAAATTCCAAAAAAAAAGCTACCCAAAACCAAAAGAAAAAAGGTTATTAGGCCTACAGTAGGTTCTTTTCAGTGTGCATAATTATATCTGTAGTACCAGCTTTTCTTGGCTCAGCTAGCGATTTACCCCTATCACTTTTTTTACAGGCAAATTTTGTTCTTGAAAAAGATGAACATTTATCAACGCAGAAACCCGAGTACGACATGGTTCTGTGCCTTAGTATGACTAAGTGGGTGCACTTAAATTGGGGCGACTCTGGTTTGAAGAGGATGTTCAAGCGAATTTTCTTAGCCCTTCGTCCTGGGGGTCAGCTGATTCTTGAGCCGCAGGCATGGTCGTCATATTGCAAGAAGAAAAAAGTCACGGTTAGATTTTTTATTTTTTCTTATTCTCTTATCAACTTTCAGAACCTTATTGTATACAGTGTTATTATTAAATAATAACACTAGTGTTTCTAATAAAGTCATGTTATAACTTATAAATACCTTATTTGTCAAAATGGTCTACCAAAGTGTATATTGTAAAAATTGTTAGTGCCCTTTTTCGGATCTCATTGCTTTAGCGTTCGTAGGATGCGATGTGGCAATGTAAATATTCCCTAATTAAAACTAAAGAAAACAAGTTTTTTTTTCTGAAAATTTACTTTTTTATTTTAAATATTTAAATCATTAACGGCGAGTTTGCGAAACAAGGTGAAAAAGTTTCACCTGTAGAGCTATAAAAAGATGGTTAAATAGTGCTATTATGTACTGTAAGAGTGGTTCTCATGTGCTCTCTTTGTACTCTTACACATTTAAGGGTTTGCGTTGATCTTGACGAGTGATTCCACTGGGGGTTCGTGATGATTGTTGACTTCCTGTACTTTCACAGGGATCATCTTCATTCGCATTTTCTGTACACAAACCCTTCCACAAGTTTTCCTGATGACTTTCCTGTTACAATTACTCACGATTCATTACTTCAAGAAATATGATTAGGCCTGAACATTAATTAAACCATAATTCCATATTTCTAAATTGAATAATTATATATAAATATAATACTAAAATTAATTGAATAAATAGATATCATTGATTTAAGGTATTTCTAAAATAATGAATACAAAATGAATGAAGGGCATTGTTAAATCATTAGTAGGGTTATAATTCTCTGATCTCTGTGTCTCTTTTCTTCCCGAGATTTTCTCGTCGTTTTTGTTGCATCTTCTCAGGACCCCAATGGAAATACATTATATCTATGTAATTGATTTTTTTTGGGCTATCCTGATCATAATCAACATTTTTCATGTCTTTTTTTGAGTTTAAAATATCAATCTTCATATATCTTTATTCATCCCAGATGGGGCAATTCCTAAAAACTGGACTGTAAAAATCATAAACAATTTTAACGAGACTTTATTGAGATTTTCGCTATTGTAAATTTGTTAAGAAACATCTTGTAAGTTTTAATTGTAATTATCTTAATAATTACATTTTATTCTTGTTGTTTTAATATTTTTCCTTTTTGCGATTTGAACGTTTTTTTCATCCTCTTTGTCCTTGTTCCTCCTTGAATTTGATGTCTGTACTGTTTGTTGATTATTGATCGAATAAATGAATGAATGAATTCCTAATAATTGTTGTGAGGAAGATCATCTAATTTATTTTGTTAAGTTTACAATAGAGTCTTATATGGCCTAAAAAGAGTGTTCCCCTAAGCCTGACCAACCTAAAATAGTGAGAATCTGGGACCTGCTTTTTATTTATTAGGGGTGAATTCTTTTCATTTTAAGAAAAGGAAACATCTAATTATCTTTAATTACAGACCTTCAAAATGCATCTCACTTTTATGGGGCACTCTTTGTTTGGCCTCTTATTGCTAAGCCCTCAATATCCTGTTCAACTTGATGTTAAATTACAATTGTCAATTGAACTACATTTCTTTTTTTTGACAGAGATAATATAATATTTTTCAAATTATTTCATATAATTGGCAGGTGAAATCTAAGCAAATCCATATAATTTTTTTTTTTTAAATTCAATTAAAATTTTATTTAAAAAAATATTGTTTTCATTTTTATTAAATTATGCCATAGAGCCAGTGGCTTGTCTAAGGTGTTTGCAAATTCCCCCTCCCCTAATAAAAAAAGTTCCCGAAAAAAGTCACCTCAAATCACCTTACACTGTATTTTGTGAGCTTGCTCCCCGCACCTAATCATCGATCCTCCAATTCACTTTTGCACCCCCCACACATTTCAATATTCCTAGATATGCCACTATACAGAGCCTAGTTATATTTTTATAAACTAAGCCTCATAATGAAAATTAGGGATTAGAGTTGGACATGACGCATGCGCAACAACAACTCGGAAGATTTCGGGAAAAAAACAGGCCTCGCGATGGTCTGTTTTTGTTCCGAGATAACTCAGGGGACCCCTATGAAATCTCGGAAAGTTTTACAAGGATTTGCTTTCACACTCATCCAAACCTGGCTACAACTTGTTACAAGTTGTTAATATTTGCAAAATAGCATCAGTGTGAAATGGGTATTTTTGTTATTGGAAGGCACTCATCCAAAGTACCCACCTTGTCATTTCTATGTACCATAACTAACAATAGTGGCACTCTACCACCATCAATGGATTGCCAAAAAATTAAACGCATATCAAATGGTCGGAGTGGCAGTCCACACAGTATCCACAAATTAATAGAAGCAATGAACAGAATAACAATGACAGGTGTCTCAAGTTGGAAGAAGCCACTTCCTGGAGACTGGTTAAATGTGTTTTCTTAACACATATAATTTTATTTTGCTGTGCATGGTGCGATATCGGCACTGAACTTCCACGAGAAAGTTGATAGATATACACTAGTAGTAAAAACGTAAAATATTATGAATTTGCAGGTTTCTGGTCATCGTCAATGTCTGGAAGTTTCATCTCGAGTTCCTGCCATCCCGATTTTCGTTAACTCTTACAACTTTCGAGAGTCTTGTAACCCCTGTAATGATACTCTACATGAAAAACGAATGAAAAATGTTTGGTCATCATTATCTTAAATTTATACACACTTACTCGCGTACTAATAGTTTTAAATTTCACGTTTTTAATAACTTTCCAAGAGTTTGGGATAAACTTCCCGCTGATGTTCGAGATGAACTTGTTTTTGGAATTGAATCTTTTATCAGAATTTTAAACTATTTTATGCTAAACAATAATTCTTTTAAAATTTTTCGTCTCAAATTTTACCCTTGTAAATTAAACTTGTTAACATTAGTTTTTTTTTTTGCTGCAATTTTTCTTTTTTCAAATTTTACTGTATTTTGACTGATTTCACTGATGATTTTGTACATATATATTTTTTAATTTAAATTTTATTGATTAGCCTATTTTACTTGAATATTTTATGCTAATTTAATTTTTTAATAATTTTTGTTCTCATTGGCATCGGAGAGCCACTACTGTAGATAGTGATTTAGTTCACTTTTTGGCAATCCTGTCCGCCCAACTGAGTGTTGTTTCCTGTGATCTCTGTTTTCATGTGTTTGTCAATTTTTAATGTTCCAAGTTCAAGTACAATTTATTGTCATATACAAAGTAAATGAATTTTTTTTTTCCAAGGTTCACAATAAAAACAATGACATACTAAAATACAATACAAAGTTAACCTATGCGTTAAATGATATAAAACATTATAAATATAAAAACCGATTAAACATTGCAAACAATTGCACTGTAGTTGAGTAAAAATATATAAAAGTGCAGTACACTTACATACTAAGATAAAATTCAAAATATCTCCAGTTATCTTTTAAATTGCTTTATTGTATTGCCTGATTGCACACGGAAGAAACGATTTGTTATGACGCTCAGTCTTCTTAATTGATGAAATAATTCTACCAGATTTACTAAAAATTAATATGATTAAACATAGGATGGGACTTGTCATTAATTATACATTTTAGTTTTTTCTCTATAGCCTTATCATATATGTCTGCGCTTTATTAGTTTCTTTGCCATAGTAAAAATCCTCTGTAATTTATTATTTTTAGATAAACAATGCAAATAAATTACAGAGGACGAAATAAATGAAATGAAATATTATTTAGTAGTTAATAAAGAAATATTATAATTCATAGTCCTATTATTTAATTGTAACATACTTTTTCTTTTAGGAAACAACCTACAAGAATTTCTTCCAGTTACAGCTGCGACCTGAACAGTTTAAAAACTATCTGCTACGTGAAGTTGGATTCATTAAGTGTGAATGCCTTGGTACTCCACTCAACCCATCTAAAGGTATGGTTATTGTTCATCTTGTATTCTGGGCAAAAGTGCAGCCCAAAGCTGCAATATTGTGGAATTCTCCCCAGGGAGCTGAGTATGTGATCCAATGACCGGGGTAGTAATGTGAAGCACTTAGGGGCATTGTACATGAAGCGCTATATAAGAGTGACATATTATTATTATTATTATTGTTGTGGCCTGTGAAAGTAATTAAAATCCTTACTTCTGGAGCCCGCTTGCCATTATTGGCTCAAAGACCCACTGTTGTTATGGGCCGCTGCCGATCAGTACATCAAAAAAGAATATCCAATATCAATTATAGTGCACCCTCTAATTATGAGACCTCTCTAATTCCTAATTCGAGACCTCTTTTTAAAAGAACCAAATTACAAGCTTCAATATTTTACTAAAAATCTAACCCTCTAATTGGAGACCAAACCCCAAAGACCACCCTAATTGTTTGGGTCCCAAAGGTAGTCTCGAATTAGGAGGGTGAACTGTATAATACAAAATAATTTCAAACATTTTGCAAAATTGAACAAAATATACTGATTTAAAGGCAAAAAGTTTGTTTTAAAATATACAGCAATTATCTGTTTTTTCTTTAGGCTTCCGAAGACCACTTTTGATGTTCACCAAGGCAAAACAAGGACAAGATGAGTCAGACCAAGATGCTAGTACTAGTGCTAGGAAGTAGAATTTCAACAGGATCACCACCTACAATTTAATAATCAGATATGAACACTAATTGATTGTGTTTTTCTCTGTTCTCACAAAATGACATCTGCTGGGGATGTACTACCGCCTCCTCAGCCCATTCCTGCAGATGATCTCCAGCAGACTGTCTAAAGCCGGAAACTCCCTGCACGCCTGATGGTCGATGTGATTTTATGGAGAACTCAACACCACGACGCGTGCGCAGTGGATCATTTTAAATGATGATCTGTTCCAACTGCCGCTGACAATTAGCAGACGGCTTTGCGTCATCTAGCAGTGTTGCATTCGCAGTATGATGCATTGAGTGCCGGCTTAGTTATCAAAAGACGTAGTTAGAGGACTCCATCCCACTTTGTGTAGAGTATTGATTCCCCTAAAATTCAAGCTTAATAAGTTTCCCCAGCCTTAAAGCCTGTTTACACTATGATGATAACGATCCATAATAAAAAGCTAAAAAGCAATTGTTCATATTGAAAATAATAGAAGATTTCACACCAGCGCAATTAGATAACGATTTATCGTGTATACGATAAACAAATATTTTTACAAATTAATGACGTCATAATCATTGGAAAATGATAAAATCATAGTAGTAAAAACGATTTTATCGTTTTCCCATGATTTTGACAACATTTGATTTGATTTGTGAAAATATTTTTTATCGTATAAGTCATTATTGAATCGTGCTGCTGTGAAAACTTCTATTATTTCATTTATTTTCTATATGAACAATTGCTTTTTAGCATTTTATCGTTGATCGTTATCGTCATAGTGTAAGCAGGCCATAGAGATGAATGGCATGTTGATGTGTCTGTTTGGAATGTAGTTCTGTTCGATGTTATGTATTCCTTTTTACGTGTTGTATTTTTGTAAGTGTTGATACATGTTTTATCCAGTTTGTCAACCTATCTGTTCATACCTGAATTTTGGTATCTGTGTCATGATCCAACAGTATGTTGGTGTCTCTATGTTTTTATTTGTGTCTTTTCTGTTGGGCTTACCGGTACTTGATCTGTCAATTTGTGTGGTTGTCTCAGTTTATCTAAATCTGTTGATCTGGCTGTTGCTTCACCTAATGGTACATTTTGATTATTAAACTTTTTCGAAATTGACTGATCTAATAAGCTGATTTTAATTTTCACAAATACTCCATGTTGTGTTGTAGCCTGCCAGTAATTGGAAATATACAAAAGGCTGTGTGTATTTTGTGTTACATAATTTTTATTTAATTGGCTGAATAAGCCTTTTTAAAATCACATTTTGGTGAGACTTTTTATATTTTGTTTAGCGAACTTCATTGTTGAAAATTGGCGGGAAAACATGAAAATATTTTAAAATATCTTATTATTGAGCTAAATGGCTCTACCAGAAGCATATACAGTAGGCGGAGGAGAAAATGAAAACATGACAAACTGATAAATAAGTTATTTTGACTAAATTTTGAGAGAGCTAATAAATTATCATGAGATATACTGTGGTAGCTTGCGGGATAAATTAAAGAAATAAGTGTTTGCAAACAAGCCAATTAAAAAGCCTCACCTCATCTTCCTGTATGTTTTCCCTTCCCATTATCTATGTTTTTATCATTTCCATAAATGATGTTCTGAATCTTTGTCCACACTATCAAATTTTCTTTGACAAAAACTGTTGTATGCCCATATATAGTCATGATGTGCCTATATATGGTCATGATGTGATGTCATCATGACCATATTTAGGCATGTCGCAATGTTTTTGTCATATAAAATTTGATAGTGTGGACAGGGCCTTAAGCCCATTCCAGACTATCAAATTAAATTGGATAAAAACTTGTGATATGCCTAAATACGAGGCATGCCATTCCAAAACCAGTGTACTGTCACTATGTGGTAAACTGAGTAATAATGTGGTAGTATCGTATGCTTTAGTGCAAAGAAGTCGTAATACTTTTACTCATAATAATTACTACAGTTGAACTTGCCTAGGTCAAATCCAAAATGGCATTGAAAAACTGTTTGACTTAACAATAAATTTTGACTTCCAGATCGTTAATAAATATTTTAAAAAAAATCAACAATTTGGTATGTAAAATAAAAGTGAAATTATTCAATTTAGGCAAGTTTAACTGTATAAATATATAAATTTTAAAATGTGAAGAAAAAGTATATATTGGAAAGTCAATTTTCATTTTTTTGGTCACTGCTGCTGGTTTTGTGATGGCAAGCCTTATATGGTCATGATGACATCACATCATGACTATATATAGCCATACAAAATGCGATAGTCTGGACAGAGCTTTAAGTAGTTACGATTCTATCTGCACAAGTTAAACTTGCCTAAGTCAAATCCAAAATGGCATAGAAAACTTGTTTGACTTTGATAAAATTCAACTTAGATTGAATTTGCACAAGTTAAACTTGCCTAAGTCAAATCCAAAATGGCATGGAAAACTTGTTTGACTTTGATAAAATTCAACTTACAGATCGTTAAGTAATTAAAAAAACACAGCAATTTGGCATGTAAAGTATCTGCACCAGTTGAACTCGCCCAAGTCAAATCCAAAATGGCATTGAAAAATTGTCTGACTTTGATAAAATTCAACTTACAGATCGTGAAAAACACAACAATTTGGCATGTAAAATAAGATCGACTTAAAAATTATTTGAGTTAGGCAAAGTCGACTGACATAGGCAAGTTTAACTGTACTTGTAGACTATAAAAAGATAAAGATTTACAATATTTCTAATCCATCATAATTTTTTTCTCGTATTCACTTACAACTAAATGTTTAAAATATAGTATATATTTTTTATTAATGTATTACACTTTTATTGTAAAAATATGGTTCAATGAAGAAAATTTAATATCATGATGGTTGTTCCCACAAAAAAACCAGACAAAGTCACAAGTAAATACTTTGTGATGAACATTTAAAAAGTTAGATGAAACAAATTTGATTTTTTAACCACATTTAAAAACTAAGAAATATTTTCAGAAATAAAAAAATAATAATTACAAAACACCAATAAAGTACAAGTGCTGTACTGAATACCAATTTAAAATCTGAATATTGAATATAAAAACAATGTTACTATTGGCAACCTTGTCAGACTTTTGTGGGGATATGTCACATTGTATAACTTGATTACTCCAAAGATAAAGATTTAATTATTTTATGTCAATTTTTAATGATAATCTGTAAATGATAAGAAGATGATAATAAATTGGGTGTTAATTTGAAATTTCATTTGATGTTTAGGAACCTGGTGCTGAGTTCTTGGTAATCGTTATGTATTAATGTTAAATCCAAAAGAGCAAAGTTGAAAGGTCATAAAGATGAAACGCCGACCACTTTGAAAAAACCTTAAGGTAATAGTGTCTACTTACTTTTGAATTAGTCATACACTAAATTTTTAAGACTATTATAGCCTACAGAAGATTTTTTTTTCAACATTATTTCAAATAAAACATATTCTTTATTAAAAAAAAAGATCTGTTTTGTATAAACAAAATGGAAGAAACAAAATTGATAAGTGGTTTTTTTTTTAAATATTGTTTCTTTCCCCTTTAAAATATACTGGTAAATATGGAAGAAAAAAAACGTGGTTGTATTTTTACAATTTAATTTCTGAAATCACTTGTAGACACTGTTACTTTAAGTTTTAATACCATTTTTAATAAAGTAGCATTTCAAAAGTCAATGAGTAATGTTGTGGTTATTTGTTTTAATATATCATTAAAAATGTATTTACAAATTGCAGATTATTTATTCCCTTATACACAAAAAAATTACAGAAGTCTGAATAGATTCTGTGTAACAAAAATATAGCGAGAAAGTAGCAAAGATAAAGAATTGTGCACATAAACAAATGAATATTTTGAACGTGATGTTAAACATGTTATTGCACTTAATTTCTCAAAATATAAAAATAAATATTTTTGAATTTCAATTGACCCCTCTTGGGTGCCACCACAGCACTAAGATGATTCGCATTCCTTCTCTCACCCACCATACAAACTTTGAACGTCATCGATTCTTGTAAATGCAGGAAGCAGGGTTGAAATGAGGATTTAAATGGGAAAATAGAATGTTTGTTAAGCAGATCTTGCTTTCAAAGAGGAATTGCGGCAAGGAGAGGGCGAGAGGAATATACAGTATAGGGTGTTTGAGTTTGGACGATTTTACGAAAAGCACTTGGACGGCAGGAGTGCAGCACGGCCAGAGGGGGTCAAGGGGGTTCTTTTAAAAAAAAATTTCCTGATTATCGTAGTAAATGATCAGTAATGTTAAAAATAATATAAAATATATTAAATGTAAGCCACCGTCCTTTTATTATGATTTACAGAGTAACTCAGTGACCCTTGCCTCAGACCCGGCGGACACACCATGTCATAAATCTTGAATGGTGTGCGTACAGTAATAATAAAAGTTGAAAATATGAAAATTTTGTGGCAGTCATGGTAACTCTATGGTTACTCAAGGTAGCAACTGAAAACACTGTAAATAGGGCAACGCATTCTCGCGTCCAAGAAAATGCTTGCAGTAGGTAATACAACCTACATGCCTGCTATTTAAAAATAGACCTTCATCGAAGGTTCTTTTTTTTTTATAAAATCATTACCCTTTGTTGGTGGAACCAGGAAAGAGTGAAATCTTGCGCCAACTTTATTTCCTTGTTTTACAGATTGCTTTCATGCTAATTTGTGTTAGAGATTTATAGAAATTGACGTGGTGAAACCTCTCGATTTTATCTCTTATTACGTAAAGTAACAACATTTTTCGAGCCCCCTTCAGCCCCGGACCCCGACGGGGGCTCTTTATCGGCTCCCCCTTCTCACAAGGCTTGACCCTGCGTGACCATTAAGCAGCTTAAAAGATCAATCATGGTATTTCTGGTAATTGTTTTAGCAAGTGTGACCGGCTCTGGCAAAACCCCTCATTTGTTAGGAAAAAACCTGTTGAATGAATTCTTTAAATTACCATACAGTAGTTTCAATTTTATGGAAATTGTTTGAGTATTAGCAAAGTTATGCATATTTAGTTCGTTGGTCATTAGCCAGGTAGGTTTGAGTAAAACGCTTCCAAAGATTGCAAAATTAATAGTTAATAATTAGGAAAAAAAAAAATTGTTTGTTTGCCCTCCTCCACCCGCCCCTAACTCACTGAAAAAATAGGGGTGGAAAAACAAAAAAACTTTTAAAAAGTGTTATTTTCTTTAGCTTTTTTCTTTACAAATTAAAAAAATATGAGTGAATTTATCTTTATTTTTTGCCAGATGCCCTACAAATTAGCCTAAAGTTGTTGTCTAATGTAAGGTATTGGCATTCTAGGCCTTTGTGGGTTATTTTTATTCCATCCGATGAGTATTTTAAAAAAAAAAATAAAAAAAATAAAAACTTTTTCCACCCACCCGCAAACAAACAATTTACTGTATTTTATTTGGCCTTACTAAGATTTGTATTTTTAAAATTATTTTAATATACTTTTCAGTTAGATTTGGTGATCGATATTTTGCAAACGTTCTACATTTTCTTTTATAAACTGCAAAAACCTGAAATTGAGCATTTTGGGTGCTAGTGTAAATTAGAAATTGCGACAAATTTAGGGTTTTGTCAGAGCAAATCACAAATACTGAATGTATTTATATTAGTGATTGCAAATCTCCAGCCAGCATTTGCCAAGATATTGGAACTCATTTTTACCTTTAATTTGCATATTTAGGCCAAAATTGCATATAAAAAGGGCATGTGACCATGGGGTGACTTCTAGGCTGGCTTTCATCTCCACTTCACGAATAAACTGTGAATAGAAAGATTTTATGTTTATCCCTAATTTGCATAATTAAGAGATTATTTGCATTTGAATGGGAAATGCAATGGAAGGCATGATTTTAGGTATGCAAATTCTGTGAATATATTCAATTTTGGGTACGCACGTTCTGAATAATTTCAAAAAAGTAAAAGGTCATTCTAAAATTATTGTTAAAAATGAAGTAACCATGATATTAAATGCATATACTGTATATTTTATTACTCGGACAATATCAGGTGCAGGTGTGGCATATTTTTTACATATTAGTTGATTACAAAAATCAAAATTGATTAAATAAACCTTTGAAACACCTAAATTTTCCCTTGGACCACTTCCAACAGATTTTGAGCACGCCAAACCACACCTATTCACACCCCCCCCCCCCCCCCCCCCCCCCCCCCCCCCCCCCCCCCC